GCAGAAATGAAAGTTTTAACGTATAAAGAGAAGCTTCTTGGCTCTTCGGAGCAGCAGGGCACAGTGCAGCAAGCACAAGCTTTGGAATCAGGCAGCCTGGTGATGTGTGGTATTGAATAAGTTTGATATGCTGTCTCATTTTCCTCTTATGAAAAATGGGCTTGACATGCCTACACGACCCGGGGTTGTAATGAAGTAATGGACACTGAATTAATTAGGTGATGTATTCTAAATATGTGACACAGAGGAAAAATTCAGTAGGCACTGATCATATTAGTGAGACAGCGAGTTCCCCATCGTGGCAAGTAAATGATGCACTTCCAGTTTCTACTATGTGTCGTTAGGCCGCATCCTTGCTCTGTGCTCTTTAAGGCTATGAAATGGAAGACCTCTGGATCAGTAGAGAATCCATAACCATCTCTGGTACTTGTCTTACTACGGTAACTTGCACTGGCCTTTGGCTCTTCTGAAAGGTGGATGCTACATCAAACTAAGCAAGTATTTGTCAAACATAGTTATTTTTCAGAGTAGGTATTTTAAACATTATATAGGGGTACCTCAAAATGTTTGGAAAATGGAATTAAACGTTTAAGTTTATTTTGGTACAATAAAATTGTGGAATCCACACACAGTGTTTTCATCATATGTATTCTCCACAAATTTTCACTATGGTGGAAATGTAGAAATATCAAAATGATTTTTTAATTTGGCATAATAAATTCACCCAGAATTTATATTTTATGAACTTTCTAATATTCAACTATTTTTAAAAATTTTATTTTGCAGGCAGACAGATCTTCCAGGTAGTGGTTCATTACTCAATTGCCCGCAGAAACCTGGGTCACCCATATGGATGACAGGGACCCATATACTTAAGCCATCACCTCCAGCCTCCCAAGGTTCACATTAGCAGAGAGCTGGACTCAGAAGTGGAGCCAGGACCAAACCCAAGCACTCTGATGTGGGATATGTGTACGCCAAGTGTTGTCTTAACCAGTGCACCAAATGCCCACTCCTCAACTCTTTGACTTACAAAAACGACAAGTGCATGTGGATGAACCTAATCGTATTAAAGTAAAAGGTAATTTGTTCAATTCCTCATTTTATTTCTACAAGTGAGACCCAGAATACAAGGCTGTATCTTGTATTAAATATTTGTCAAATAGTTTCTATATGCTAATTATATAAAAAAGTTTTTCAGGGGAGGATATGAAGTTGTTAGCAGTGTTTGCTGACCTGATAAACTTACATTCAGACCCCACAGTTGACTTCTCCCATTCAGGAGTGATTCAAAGTTAAATTCCATGCAATTTGTCAGTGTCCGAGTAGGAGACTAATTTATGCCTCCTCGTTGATATTGTGTACATTTCCAAATTAACTCAGTCATAACAGTGCTTTCCTTATTTGTGGCTTTTTTTTTTTTTTTACTTTTCTAGGCTCTGAGAATTATTTCTCACCCTGTGTAACTAGCAAATTAATGGGACCTTTATTGAGTGTTGGGAAAACAGCTGAGCTACGGGCTTAACGCTGATGAAAACAGTTTTTCCTTGAATAAGCCCCCTTGATTTTATTTTGGCTTTAAAGATTTTCCTCTAGAAACATGAGGGTGCCTTGATGAATTTGCTAACTGTAGACTCTGATGTAGCAATTAATGAAGTACAGTTTTACTGATACCTTTAGAGATTCTTATGCCCCAAGGTCCATAGGAGTATGAAGAGCCACACCTTTCTGCTCTAAGAAGCCACTGCATCTAAACACAATCTTCTGCCTCTACTGGCTAATGGAAGAGATTCAGACTCATTAGCTAAATTAATTGTTTCATGTGGTTGGTCTTTAAAACGTTATAAACTGTAATGGAATTGCTGAGCTGAGAGCAGTTAATTGGATGTACTTCAAATATATTCTAACCAAACGCTGTATCTGGCATTCTTTATGATCACTTAAGAACTACCAAAAGAAAACTATTGATGAATCTCTGTGCCATCAGAAAAAATCTAGAACAGTTTAAAAATGTCTCCTATCTGTACGGTTGGTATCACTTCAGAATCTGAAAATCAGTGTGGATACCACCCCATCAGCATTATTCCAGGGACTCATATTCTTAGGGGAAAGTGAGGATTTGGAGTATATTCCTAGGTTGTTAAAGGCTGTAAGTCACAGAGGGAGGCAGAGAATGCATGTTCCCCAGGTCTAGAACCCATGTGTTAGATTAGGAGTTATAAGGAGTTGAAAGTTCAGATCCCTCAACAGGGTGGTGGCGTCTCTGAGAACGGTGGACATGACAGGAAGTCTTAGGATCAGAAAGAGAGTGAGGGCTGAGAATAGGGGAGTTCCTGAAAGCAAAATGCGTTTTAAAGGTGCCGTCACTTATCTTTACTGGTTGTTTCTACATGGCAATGTGAATCCAATAATGCCAGATACTGTGAATTTCATATAGATTGAAGTGCATTGAAACATGAAATAATCACATATCTAAATACTGATAACCAGAATTCAACTGGTATGCCCTGTGGATCAGATAAAATACATCTCTGTCTCTCAGGAAGTGACCAGTGGATTAGCTTCTAATACCCCCACACTTATATAAGTACTAACAAAAGTGGAGGATGTAGAAATGTTGTCCTTCATCAATATGTATGATCAATCAAAGGAAATGTTGTTTGAAAAGAAACTAGGGTATTTCATTAATCAGCAGATAGCAGGTGTCCACTGGGTTGCAGCATCATCTTCATTCTCGTGAATATTTAAAAAGACAGATGTATTTGCTGCTTTAGTTTACCAACAGGTTAGTTGAGAAGAACATTATTTCCTGATAGAGTTATATATCATGGTGAAGAGAATACTAGAGAAGAATCAAGGCTGTATTTAAGGAGTGGTTTTTACAAAAGCTGCAGGTAGACAAAGACTTTACAAGTTCCTTCCTGGTATGATATTATTTGTATTATCCAAAGAAGGAGGAGGGGTGACAGTAGATATGATAATGGGACAGTTTAATTATGTCATTATCTAAGATTGTTACTCTCAAATGGAAATACTATGTTTGACAAAGCTGAGATCAAAATTTCGTACAGAGAAAGGGTGGGAGACGAAGGTGGAGAAACACAGATGCCATGAAGCAATCTGGGGATTCCTGAGGGGCAGGAAGAGCAACGGAGAGAAGCCTGGAGCACCATGTGGCATTTCGCTACTCCAGAAGTACCAGCATCTGTTCCGTGGATAAAGCAAAGGGCAAGGAGTGAGGGCCCATTTCTATCTGTGGCACTGCTAGCTGTGGGATCCAGAGGAACGGCATCACATCTTGGCACTTGGGCCACCCCAGATGATAAAAAGAGACAACGCATACCCCAGGAGCAGTTTGTGCATCATTTCTGATGTCCATAAACCACTCGCAGTTTTTAAAAGTCAAGACTACCATGAAAGCAGGCAATGCTGTTCTCTTTCTCCAAAACTCACCGAATCCACAAAGGGGGCAATGGCGAGGCAGCAGTCAGAGCTCACTGGAAAGCTCTCGCTTGCTGTTCATCTGCTCATTCCGGAACCCATCGTGTTTCTTTCCAAGCAATGTTCTTTCTAGCCACCTTAGCTTTGCATTTAATTTAAGTGAAAAAGCAGCCCCAGGCTGACTCACTATTTAAACTGTGATTGCCACGCTCTCCTTTGAAAACTGAGGCATGTGTATATGCAAGGCATCCATGTGTGTTAGGCAAAGAGAAGAGCTGTGTTCTGGCTTCAGCCATCAAGCGTGAGTTACATTGTCCTTGTATGTGTCCTTTACAAGTTGGTCTTTTGTAGCTTTGGGTGAGATGCTAGCTTTGTATCTGATTAACAGTCTCACTGCTATTATTCAGAACAGCAACACAAATGAATTTGAAGACAAATTTAGACAAAACAATGCATCTCTCGCTTACAGTATAGTGCATGATATGGAAAAGTATCCCCCCCACACCTATTGGAATTAATATAAAACATGAAAGCATCCTCAAAATAAAAGTGAACATAAAAAACAGTCCAAACCTTATAGAAGAAATCATTCTCTTATCATTATCACGTAAAGCCTGACTTTCAAGAAATTAGAGTTCATGTTTAATTTATCATCTAACCTTCTTGGGAATGGACCTGAGTAAGCGCAATATCCTCACCAATTGCATGACATTGAATTTTAAGCATATTTTGCATATACACAGGTACTGCAGAAAGTTCATGGAAAAACAGAATTAAAAGACAAAAAATTTTGAATCCACGCAGTTTTTCACAATACTAATTTTCTGTGAGGTTTCTGAGAACTCCTTATCTATCTCTCTATCTATCTATCTACATTTCCTTACGTGTACTTATGGTAGGGGACCCAAACAGGGAGATAAGTTTGGGCTCGTGGTCTGGAAACCACGCCCACCCTAACCACCTACCTGATCTCACCTGTATCCGCCCACCAGCCAATTAGACTACATAGCCACGCCCCTGTTGGAAGAGAATAAATCTGCAGTGCTCTGAGCCCGCCCCCCATTTTCTGTGGCTGCTCCTGGCCCTTCTTCTGCCTGTGGGGCTCCCCACCCTCCACGCTGTGAGCCCCCGGCCTGAGCCCCCGAGATTTGGGTATGCAGCTTCCCCTTTAATTTTTCTGACCCACTCCCCCTTAATAAAGATTTCCCACATTTTTGAAATCAACCCTGAACTTTACCATGTTGCCAGGCTCGTTTGTGCCTGAGCTTAGAATTCTTCTCTAAGCTTAACACAAAGAACCCTAAATATTAAATGCTGACTTAAGCTAGCTGATACGATTCATGCCCATTGTTGAACATGATAAATAAATCCAAGGCCCTGGAATACACAACATGGGGAAGGAAGGATTCTCTGCAAAGACTTGGCTCGTTTTGCACACTGAGCCGAGCACGGGACACGTACACTTCCTGGATGCTGCAGTCTTGGGAGAACGGAAGGATCTTTAGAGAAGCCCGCTTTGCACGTTCTCGCCCCCACACCAACTCCAGCAGGCACCATACCTTGCGCAGGGGTTTGAGCTTCGTCTCCATTATGAAGTCGTACTTGCAGAGCTCACAGCAGCGCGTGTCTGAGCTCTTGATCCACTGGTGGAGGCAGGACTGGTGCACGAAGCGCAGGGTCCCCGTGCAGCGGCACGGCGTGATGAGTGGGCTCTCCTCATCCCCTTCGCAGTGACAGATCCTGCGGGAGGACACAGCAGCCGGTGTAAGATCTCCCAGAGAACGTTGCTCACCAGGGGACTTGCACACTGGCATAGCCCAGGCTACCCTGGAAACTGCAACCCAAGACTCACAGCAGGTGGGCGGGTCACCCCGAGCTGGGTGCTGCAGTCCCTGATCAATACCAACTCCCTTCCACTTGCATGGTCACCGCTGGCCTCAGTCGAGTTTTAAGTCACGAGAGAATGGCATGTCAAAACTGCACCGTCAGCTCATCCTCACCGAAGCCAGCCTTAAGAGCTACAAGCCAAGCTTAATCTATTTAGCAGGTCACTGTGGCTCTGTGTAGGCTATCATATACGAAAGTTGTGACTTTTAAGTAGTCTAAGAAATGTTGCAGTCTGATAACTTCTCACTGTTATTTTGATGTTAGTTTATATGGCCGTGGTGTGTAATTTAGTAAATATGATATCTAATAAGGCAGAAGAATTCTGAGATCTTTTAAGGGGGTGGCCAAAGAGTAAAGTCTCAGCCTGAAAATAATACGATTTTCTTAGAAAGATGAACATCTAGTTGGTGGCTATAAATAGTACACACTGTTGATAATAAAGTTACAAAACTCATGGGTCATGTACAATCCAAGTACAGTAAATTCTATTGTTTGCACATGCTAATTACTACATCTACCAGTGAATTCAGAGTTCAACAAGTTTCTAAATTACTATGAATCCACTTCATAGATTGACAGCTCATGAAATCTTCATTATTCAGATTTTTAATAACAACTTATTTTTCTCTTTGGATGAGATAAGACTTTGCTAACTTCAGGTCATACATTCAAATCTCAGCCCTTCAATAATTCTAATGATCTAACCAGCTCCTGGAAGTTGTTAATAAACTGAATTAGAACTATTGCTTTAAATCTGTTGGAAATATGAATGCTAACATTTTTAAGTTTTTTAAAAAATCCACATAATTCCCTTTTTTTTTAGCTGAGTCATGGTTGCAAGCTGGAAAGATGGTATAAATTACTGCTGCACTCTTTCCTTTTAAGTGTATAAAAAGTGTGAGGTTTAAAAGGAAGATTTTTAAAAAGATTTATATAAATAATCAACTACGTCCCAGGGGAAATGCAATGGCTGCTAGGACTGTTAGTGCAGTAAGATTCAGGAATTGAAACCCAACGCCTCCTAACCTCAAAATAAAGAAGTATGACAGAAAGCACAAGTATTTTTAATCCATTTCTGAAGTAAAAATAAAGTAAGCCAAGGGAACACCGACTTCTCAAGTACTGGGGTGGGCATCCTCCCCCGACTGCATTGGTGGATGTAGCAAATGGTGGATGTGGCACACATTCAAAAGGTCAATGTGGGGAGGGAAATCTAAAAACGGTTGGGAATAGTTTCTCTCTCTAAACCTAGGCAGCAAGCACTGGTTTGTTATATTGTGTCACACTTGTTGTCCATGTAGCATTGCTTCACAGGTGCCCACTGGATGCCAAAAACAATGGATTTCAGCCAACGAAACAGGACTCACCGTGAATGCAGCCAATGAAGTAAATCTGAGTGTTTACATTTGCAATATTTGTTGTTAGCCATTGAAGTGTACTGAGTTACAGAGGATAAGAGCCTGACAGTTTTTAAAGTGCTTGGATCTCTTTTCTTCCACACACAGATACTCTCTTCCACCAGGGATCAGCAACCCAGGGCCCAATTCTGCCTACTGAATGCTTGTATACATAAAGTTTTATTGGAACACAGCATCATCCATTGGTTTATATCTTGTTTGGAATTGAATCTGATTTATAACAGTAGGGTTGACCAGTTACTGCAGAGACAATTTGGCTGCCAACACTAAAATATGAGGGGATTTCAAGAGCTCATGGAAAATAGAATTAAAAGATAAGTTTATTTGGGGACAAAAATTTTTGACATCCAGGCTCATATTTATTATCCTTTTCAGAGGATGTTTTTGGACCCTTCTCTTACCCTAGGCATGATGAAGTGGAGTTAAGGACAATGGATTAGTATTATCAACAGTAACAAAAACAAGTTTTACTCAAGAAATCCTCCAATGTCTTCAAGTAACATAAAATTGAAGGAAAGGTTGCATAGAGAAACACACAATAAAAACTAAAGCCCCTCTTGGCCTGACATTAAAGACGTCTGCTTCCAGGGACAAAACTTCTCATTTGAAAAAGAGAAATCTGCAGTCATTGCCATCTGATAATTCATCACTAAAAAGAGATTGTCAAATATTTTACAGCTACCAAAAAGATTTCAAGGCTCTGACTTTTTAACTGACACGAAGAAGGCAATTTATGTCCAAGAAGCTTCAGAGAAAAACCCAGCTGATCCCTGAGTTCAAACTGACCTGGAGTACCACTGTAGTCCAACTTCCCATGTCTTACAGAGCCCTCTGCTACCTGACGCATCAGCAGCAGCAATATCACTTCTCATAAAACTAAGGTTATTTCCTTCAGGGAAAATAAGAATCCTAGCTCTTTTTCATTTCCATTCCCCATGATTTATTTTACATGTTTTTGGTATTTTGAACTTTCTCTAAATTATCCAGCTCAAGTTGGACCCCAAGAGTCTTTTTCCAATCATGTTGAGATTGTTCTACAAGAAATTAAGAGCTAAATATCAACTTCAAAGATGTGCTAGAAATAAAAGAGAATGTGATATTGCCATAAAAAAGAATTAAATGATTCTTAAATCAATATATTTTAAACAAATCACAATTGCTGATTATATATGAAAACATACTAATGGAAACATCAAAATGCTTTACCCAATAGAATAATTGTAAAGAAAAAGTGATTTCAATAATGCAATAAAATTGCACTTTAAAATATTCATAATTTTGATGCATTTTTATCTGTTGGGAAATCAAGGTTTAAGCCTTGAGTGATTCTATAAAATCATCGGTTATCCACATTGATGTCAGACACCTAGTGACAAGAACAAACTGAACTTAAAGATTTTATTGGTATTTTAGTATTTGAGCAGTCTGCTTGCAGTCTAATTAGCATATGTTGAGATTTTCACCATTTATGACTTGAATGAACTGGTATTTCCACATAATTTCTAGCTTTCTATGAATAGCAGACCACAAGATGATCTGTAGAAAATTAAATTTTAGATTTTTTTGCTTAACTTGACTTCATGTTTGTGTTTTAAGAAAAATTTTTACTTTTTGAGAGGGGGGGTCTTATTTGTCTTAAATGATATTTATTCTTTACCATGCCTACTACTCTGCCAAGGCTTCTTGGATCTGGCAGAATATTTTTTTCTGCGTACTTTTTTTTAAAAAATAATTCATCACTAAGATCATCCTCTTTGTGAGGGTTATAGTGATTCTGTAACTTTGGAATGTTTATTCATTCATTATTTCATTTGCTCAAGTTTTCTTGGTTTTTGCCTTATGCAAAGAAAATGAGACAATAAGTGGGTGAATGGAGAGGCAGAGAAATGAGCCTGGAGGCAAGTTCATTTGGACAACGATGCAACCACCTGGATAATGGGAGCCTGGACGGATGTGGTGACATGGGGGAGGAGACCAGAAACTCACCTGGAGCCTCTGTAGGGGCTCTGAGGCCCAGCTGGTGGCAACGCACACTGGCAACACATCTGACTCCAACAGGCAGGCCCTGCCTGCGGCCTGTACACGGCATCTCAGGTTGGGCTTCTCGATTCTTGTCTCTCCTAGCCCATGCTGTTTTTGTCTCTTTTGGCTTATCTTTCTAACACTGTCTCCTCACTTGTCTATGGCTGTTTTCTCCATACTCTTCTCTAACTAAACAATCTTGAAGCACAGTAATTATGGCTATTGTTGCATTTGTATTGGTTTAATTTGGATGTTAATCCTATTCAAAACTCATCATGCTTTGGAGTTTGGCACTCATTCTCAGATCTCATTTTACTAAGCGAAAAATGATGACAAGTATGTTCAGCAGAATCTATATTGAAACATATTAAGCAGTAGGGTGAGGAATTCATGCTCAAGTTGATGAGTGAAGAGATATGAGGTTCTTCAGAAAGTTCATGGAGAGTGGGGTTAAACCATAATGCGAAGGGATCAGTGTCATGGCATGGCAGGGTAAGCTGCCCTGTGATGCTGGCATTCCTTACCGGGGCACCAGTTTGAATTCCATCTGTTCTTCTGATCCAGCTCCCAGCTCATGTGCCTGGGAAAGCCACAGACGGTGGCCTGAGTACTTGGGTTCTGCCAGCCATGTGGGAGACTCGGGTGGAGTTTCCAGCTCTTGACTTCGTGTTGGCCCAACCCCAGCCATTGTGACCATTTGGGGAAGTGAACCAGAGGATGGAAGATCTCTTTCCCTCTCTGTCTCTTCCTCTCTCTCTGTCACTGTGGCTTTCAAATAAATAAAATACATCTTTTAAAATTAAAAGATAATGTGTAGGAACCGGCATTTTGTCCAGCAGTGAAGACATGAGTTAGATGCCCATGTCCAGTACTGGAGTACCTGGCTTAATACCTGGCTCTGGGTCTCCATCCAGCTTTCTGCTAATGCGTACTCTTGGAGGGAGCAGGTGATAGCTCATGTACTTGAGACTCCGGCACTTTGAACCTCAGGCCACCCATGTTGGAGCTCCAGCTTCAGCTTGGCTCAGCTCCAGCTGTTGCTGGTATTTGGGGAGTGAACCTGTGAAAAGGAGGGCTATCTCTCCCTGTCTCTCTTAAATATGAACTTAATTTTAAAGAGATAATGTGTGATTTCTGTGAACTTTCTGAAAACCCTCATATAATCACTCTCCTTTTTGAGAAATACAGTAGAGCAGTGAAAATACAGAAAGCTACAACAAGTTTTATTTTTGTTTTCAATGGGAAAAAACCTGAACTTGTTCATAAGCAGAAGTGAAGGTTTTACAGAGGGGTAGCTGTTCAAAAAATCACAGGCAATAGGACGTCCAACTGTCAAAAGAACATCCTTGAGAGGTCAAGAAAATAGGGTACAGGAGGATCTTTGGAGGAGTGAAAGATGACTACATGATGTGG